TATGTGTATACAATGTGAAATGATTATATCAGGCTAATTAATATATCCATCACCTCACTTTCCTATCATTTTTTTGTGGTGAGACATTTTAAGTTACTCTCTTAGATATTTGAAATATACAAAATATATCAGTCTACTGTCTACTTCAACTTTAGATACCATATATAAATGAGATCATGTGGTATTTGTCTTTCTGTGCTTGGCTTATTTCACTTTGCACAATGTCCTCTAGAATCATTCATGTTGTTATAAATAACAGGATTTCTCCCCTTCTTAAGGCTAAACAGTATTCCATTGTGTATATATACATTTTCTTTATCCATTCATTTTCTTTAGATATAGAACATGTCTGTAATATAAAAGCTATTTAATGCATATGCAACAAAAATCTTAAAATATCTATATCTATTATGGATAGCAAAAACAGTCTTAAAAGAAATGAAATGCTCTTTCAGCATTATTCTAAAGTAATTATTAAAATAATATGGCACTTACATAAAAACAGGTCACTGAAAACATGGAATAAATCAGAAACAGACTTAACAGATGATAAGATAGATAATCATAAACCAATAGAAAAGGAACGGAGTCACTGACACTAGGAAAATGAGGTAACTTCAGACAATGGTGGGAAATGAAGTAAAAGCATCACCTTGCATTATATACAACAATAAATTCCATTAAGAATAAAAAGTTTGTTTCTTTTTCAACACTCTAGGCAGCAAAAACAAACTTCAGGTCATTTCTATTTCAAACACAGGCATCTTTATTTTGCTATATGAAGTATTTAAAAATCACAACTATTTAACACAGGATGACAAGACAAAAAAAGAACAAGTGTGAGGAGTTACATAGATTAAATAAGAATGAAGATTAAACAAACAGTATTACTAAACGTATGAAACTTGATTACAACACTAAAGCAGTATACTTACCACATCAAGCAGATATAAAAAGAACTGCTTACCTTCACATATTCCAGTGTTAAGAGATCATCCACCGTATTATCCAGTGTTGTAACCAAATAAACTGGTTTCTTATTTTCATCTAAAAATAATTTTTAAAATTACCCTTTTATAGGAAAACTAACTAAAAATAAGTGTAGGCAATATTAGTAATTATAGAATTAGAAAATAAGGCTTTCTTGTATCAGTTCTAGGCCTTGAATTCTACCTTACCCTAGTCAGTTCCCTTCTTTATTCTTTAAACTTTAAAAATGTAATTTCTCCTTACAATACCCTTCCCTTCTCCTGTGGCAGGCACATCACTGGAGTCTCATACCCTTCTAAACCTAGATAGGAGGTAAGGCAAGAAACAATAGGAATCTATTAAAGAAAAAACAGAATGGTTTTTAAGAACAATGATTGAGAATGAAGAGAATTCTGTCCTTGGTCACAGAAATAGCTAAAGAGAAAACTGTCAGAGTCCTCAAAAACCCAGTTGTTTAGAAGACAGATGAGGAGAGTGATGAGAAATTAAATTTTTCTGTATATTAGTTTAGATTAAAATAAATCCTTTTACCATATAATCAGTTATTTACTCCTTCTACTCAAAACCTGTGCACTGGGGAAAGGGCCATAGAAGAGATTTTTGTATGAAAACTTTAAAACTATCATGACCAAACTACTTATGGCTGCTAGAAATTAATATCTAGAGACTGGAAGAATGAACTACAAACTAATCATACTATTCTTGAGAAAAAAATGCCACAAAATCCACGAAGTCCCCCAAACATAAAAGTTTATTAGCATATAAACCAACTTTCTACTGTGGGCGCTAATCACATTTCAACCCTTAAAGTCCCCACATTGTTTACACATTTATTCATTCATTGAACACCTATTTACCAATCATTTACTTTGTGCAAGAAACTGCTATTCACTCTGAGAAAACAGAAGCAAAAATATAGAAGTAGGTGCAGTGATAATTGTATACACTGTATTTTGTTTACCAGGGTTTTCTTATCTCTCGCTCTTAGGAAAACAAACAAAAAAATTAGAATAAACATAAAAATTAACTGCTATACTAGTTCTGGATTACCAGAGAACACTATCAAGTTGATTTACTTTTCTTTCCAACTACCAGAGCAAACTGTTTCTTGATATAAAAAGCATAGTGGAAAAAAAAATCTGCTACAAATGATCGCCTTCTTGGCAAGAGATAACCATAACAAAATCTATCACACTCAAATTCTCAATGGTTATGGAAAAAGTGCAGAATATGGGGAAAAGTTATAAATCATATCCCCTGAACAAGTTTCAGGCTACACTACTTAATTTGCTTAGTAATTTAAAAATGGACCAAAGATCTTAACAGACATCTCATCAAAGAAGATATACAGATGGCAAATGAGCATATGAAAAAATGCTTCACATCACAGGTCATCAGAGAAATGCAAATTACCACTACACACCTATTAGAATGGCCAAAATCCTGAACACTGACAACACCAAATGCTGGACAGGATGTGCAGCAACAGGCACTCTCATTCATTGCTGGCAGAAATGCAAAAACGGTACAGCCACTTTGGAAGACAATTAAATCATGTCTTACAAAACTAAGCATATTCTTATCATATGATCCACAAACAATGCTCCTTGGTATTCACCCAAAGAAAATGAAAACTTGAGTCTACACAAAAACCTGAAGAAGGACATTTACATCAGCTTTATTTATAATTTATCTATAATTGCCAAAACTTGGAAGCCACCAAGATGTCTTTGAGTGGGAATGGATAAACCACCCGTGGAATGGATAAATAAATCAATGGAATATTACTCATTGCTAAAAAGAAACAGGCTATCAAGCCATGAAAAGACATGCAGGTAACTTAAATACATATTAGTAAGTGAAAGAAGCCAATCTGAAAAGGATACATACTGTATGATTCCAATTACATGGCATGCTGGAAAAGGTAAAACAATGAAGACAGTAAAAAGATCAGAGGTTGCCGGTGGTTGGGGGGGACGGAGGGATAAATAGGTGGACTGCAGATGACTTTTAAGGCAGTGAAACTATTCTATATAATATAATGGTGGACACATGCCATTATACATTTGTCCAAACACCTAGAATGTATAACTACAAGAATGAACCCTAATGTAAACTATGAACTTTGGGTGATAATGATGTGTCAATGTAGGTTCAAACAATTTTAACAAATGAACCACTCTAGTGAGGGATGTTAATAATGAGGGAGGCTATGCATGTATGAGTGCAAAGGGAATATGAGAAATCTCCATACCTTCTGCTCAGTTGTGCCATGAATCTTAAACTTCTCTAAATATTAAGACTATTAAGACTATTCAAAAAAATGTCACATCTACTCATACGTAACATTGTTACAAAGGACTTTAATGAAATTAAAACTAATGAATAATTGTCTTATGAATAATTGTCTTAATCATTCCCTCTACCATTCACAATTATCTTTCAAGGAAAAATTTCTTAAAACGTAAAAAAAGAAATAGAAATAGTACCCTCCTAAATGCCTAACAAAGAAAACAGAAATATTTTCTTGGGATCACATAATATATCCATTATGATTCTGGAATATAAAGTGTTTGTCTAGGCAGAATACTGCTCCCCTCTGCCCCCAACAAAGATGTCTACATTCTAATTCTCCCAGAACCTGAGAATATGTTACCTCATAATCGCACAAGAGACTTGGAAGATGTGATTAAGGTTAAGGTTAAGGGGAAAGCATCCTGGATTGTGCAGGTATGCCCAGTCTAATCACCTGAGTTACGAAGAGTGAAAGTAAAAGGCAGAAGAGGTTAGAGAGATGGCAGCACAAGGAGAATCTGACACACTATGCTGGTTCTGAAACATAGGGAGCTATGTGCAAGGACCAATAGAGACTTCTAGGAGCTAAAGGCAGCCATCAACTAACAGGAAATAAGGAAACAGATTTAAACCACCTCTAACTGAAT